CACAATAAAGGAAATTACTGAAATGTGCAAACAAGTGAGGAAGATCTGGAAATACCATGACACAAGTGGTATTACACTATTACAAAATAGTGTAAGCAAGTTCTGACTGCAGAAAAAGTACAAACCATACACACAGCAGTCAAGACATCATGAAGACTGGACAAGCAAAAGTTCCGGAAAGAATAAACTTAACAAGTAGAAAAGCTATGACAGGGGTGGGGGAAAAATACAGCCTGAGGGCCGGCCGGAGGGGCTTTGTCCAGTTCACAGCAGGTCCCTCGGTCCTGCCTGGCCCAGGCACTGTCAGGTAGTGGTGTGTCCTACTGCCCTCTGGGCACACAGTGGGGCTGGGGCAGCTCTGCAGCTAGACTACCTTTCTAGGCACACCAGGTGGTGACAGCTTCTTCCATCTGTCAACGCCATTGGCCCTAGCCCTGTGGTCCAGTGGGGACCCATGCCACGGCCCTGAGCCAGCGTGCCCTGCACCTGCTCTAGACTTTCCTGCTCATGTTAACAGTGGCAGCAGCAGTGCCAGCTGGGCAGAAACTGTTGCTCAGTGCAGCAGAAAATAGCTCCTCCCCCTTGCTGCTGCCTTGCTACAGCTGCTCAGAGCCTGCGCCAGGCTGCCCTACAGCTCCTCTGCCCCGTGGGGCAGCCTATAGGTGGCAGTGACAGTGGCGGAGCCACAGGGCAGCCCAGCATGGGCTCCAGGTGGCTGCAGCAGGGAGCGCAGGGCAGCAGCGAGGGGGAAGGGCCACTTTTCCCTTGTGCTGAGCAACAGTTTTCGCCTGCCTGGCACTGCTGCTGCTGCTGCTTAGCGTAAGCAAGCAAATCTGGACCAGGCACAAGGCGCGCTGGGTCAGGGCTGTAGCCAGGTTCTGGCTAATCCACTCATGCTGGGTTGAGTCCACAGCAGGCATGGGGCAGGGTAGGGGTTGTGCACTGCTGGTGGTGATGGGGAGGCGCCGCAGGGTGTGCAAGCTCTAGGCTGTTGTGGGACAGGGGTGGGTGCACGTGTCGGGGGCTCCCATGCACATCCCACCATACCCACAAACCCTCCCCCACAAACCCCATAACCACACCCTCTCCCACACACAATCACACATCTCACAAATACCACACGTACCCACACCTTCCCCATCTGCCCACAAACCCCACACCCCCTACACACACACCCATGCACCTCTGGGGAAGCCCCGCTCACTGCTATGCACACACACTCCACCACACACATGAACCCCTGCCATGCACACCCCAGCCACCCTCCCCCTCCACATCCCACCAACCCCATACCCACAAGCCCCCCATACCCACCCACACCCCACATACACAACCCCCTGCAAACCCCATACCCCCCCACACCCCTCCTGCAATACACCAGAGTAAAAACTCATTTTGAGCCATTATGTAATCACCTCTATATACACAATGCAAACACACACAATCAGGACAAAAATATGTTTTTTAAATAAAAATTAAATATGTTATTCTGGATGTTTGATTTTTAGAATATAATTAGGGTTTTTTTCCAGTTCCAAGATGGCAAACCCCTTTCCCAAACAGAGTACTTCTGGGACAAGGGGAGGGACTTCTGGTGACAAACGTCATTGGGAGGAGGGGAGGCAGGACTTCCAGTCCCAAGATGGTGACCAGGGGCAGGGCACCTATCAAGGGGCAGAGCTACCCTTGAGGCCCTTGACAGCTCACCAGAACTTGTTAAGTGGCCCTCCAGCCAAAATAATTCCTCCCCCCTGAGCTATCAGGTAAGGAACAGATGAAAACATGCAGAAGTAAATCTGAAGTGGACCAAAAATAAAAATGGAAAAAGCCTATGAACTGAAGGCAAAAGCCAAAAGAGGTGCTGGAAATACGAAAGAAACATTTTTACAAAGTAAGGAGCAGTCCCTCTAAATGTAAGCATTCTAGGTGTGCTAGATACATCCATTCTATCTTACCAGGTGTTCTGTATCATCACTGAACTACCTTTAGAAGTGAAGCAATTAAAAATGAAATAGCTGCAGGAATTGACACTATAACAGCTGAAGCACAGTGGTGCTCAACCTTTTGGCCCTGTAGGCTAGATGAGTGGGTGGGGCCAGTCCATAGGCCAGATGGAACTGCCCCCACCGGGATTGGACCCTGGGGCCCGGCCCTGCTCCCTTCCAATTCATCATGCCCCTCCCACTCCAGCATGCCAGATTGGGTCCCAGGGGCCTGGCACTACCCTTTCCCAGTCCCCCACACAGGTGTTGGGCCCTGAGGTCCAGGGCCTCCCGCTCCCAGCCCTTGTGTGCTGGGCTTTAGCCCTAAATTCCAACGCCACCCCCACCCAACCCTGCATGCTGGGATTGGGTACCAGATCCAGTATGCAGGGCTCAGGGCTCCTCATGCGTCTAGAAATGTGGTGGTGGGGAGTGGTGCCCCATGGGCTAGATGACACGAGGCCACAGGTTGGGGGTTGAGCACCCCTTCATTGAAAAATAGACACAGAAGCTGTGGGAAGAAGAACTAGTACTAGAAAACAGATTAAAAGTCATAGTTATACCAAACCTGAAAAAAGTATGAAAGCTGCTGCCAAAAAAAAAAAATCATGTCATTCAATTGTCAACAGATTAACGTCAGTTGTAGAGAAAAAAGTTACTTAGACTAACTTGAAATTGAGTCGACCAGATATTTACAAAGCATTTACAGATGACACTTGATTCCAAGGATTTTAATTGGTACCAACCTATGTCTATTATAGAAGAACAACAAAGCCCAAAGATGACGATTTAATAGTTACATTGTTAACAGAATCTGTCTCTCAAGACAAACCAGGAATAAGTCATAATGTGCATCACAGTACATGAAGACCAGTATAATCTATTCTAGTAGTATCTCATTCTGGCCTCATAGGTAAGTGAAGGTTAGGTAGAGAAGGTAATATACTGTTTTCAACTTTGGTTCTGTATTTAGGTAGTCTCTATGAGAGGATATATGTACTTTAGATACTGTTGTTTAAACATTACCATATTAAGCATCTCTAACTTCATCCTCTCAGATGCAAATTCCTCCAAGCACCGTTGTCTCCTTTCATTTTTTTCTTCATTTTGTTTTTCCTCTGTTTCCTTTTCAGCTCTCAGCCTTTCCATTTTTTCATTTTCTAGCACTTTTTGTCTTTTTTCCCAAAGGTCAAATTCTTGTCTACATTTTTTTTCCACTTCATGGTAAGTAAAGCTAAAGGTCATGTCACCATCATCTACAAGAAATTTAAGAAAAAGTATGAGTTCATAATAAATGTCAATGTAAAAGCATAAAATATCAATGATGTATTGAAAAGAAACCACAATGGATAAGACTTTGTGTTGGTTCCCTACAGTTTATAACCCTAAGAGAAGCAGACTTGTTGTAAGACTCAGGCTATCAGGCTAACATGGGTGGCACAGCAGGCTTCTTTCTGTAAGTTACAGCAGTCGATCATGGACTATGTATAAAAAGTAACACTAACCAAAATATCCTTAGTTAATAGAGGTCCATCCACTTCAAACACTGGTCCTGCCACAGTCATGTTGGGGCTGGCAAAAGAACCTGTGTGAAACTATTTGTAGCAACCCTACATTATGTCTGCAGGAGGGCAATCTATGTTGTTTGACCTTTGAATTTGAAGATAACTGTGACGTCACTGGTTGGTTTGGTTTCTGTGAGCGCATGAGTGGTTGATCGGGCCAATTTGTGCTTTGAATTGTCTGTGGCACACTGAGCAAGAGATGCCACTTTGGGTTGCTTGATCAACAGCGGATGATGTGTGCTGTTGAGAGATTTACGCTGCTTGTGCTGCTGCTCTGCCTCAGCAGTCCTCCTGCACTCAAACTGTAGATCCAGTATAGATGAGGCTTTGCCAGGTGGAACAATCATGAACAAGATCTTCCTAAGACTTCAGGTCAATCCAGAAACTTTTCAAGGGTGACTTGAGGGAGTCCTTGAAACATTTCTTCTGGCCTCCTTGAGTGTGCTTTCCCACCTTTAGTTCGCTATAGATCTTCTTTGGCAGTCGCTCATCTCACATCCTGGCGACATGGCCTGCCCATCCCATCTGTGATTTTATCAACAGAATGTAGATGCTTGAAATGCATGCCCATGTGAGAACCTCAGTGTCTGGGACCTTGTATTGCCACCTTATCCTCATCAGTTTCTTCAGACACTCCACGTGAAAGTGGTTCAGCCTCATAGCATGGCGTCTGTACACTGTCCAGGTTTCACATGCATATATCAGGACTGGCAACACAATGGCTTTGTAGACCTTTGGTTTTGTTCGTAGACTGATGCCTCTGCACTCCTACATATTTGTATGTAGTCTGCTAAAGGTTACACTTGCTTTGGTAATTCTGGCGTTGGTTTCATCACTGATGTGAACTGCATGTGACACTGTACTGCCGAGATAGGTGAACTTGTTACTGCCTGGAGTTTGGCCATTCGTTGGGAATGGTTCAGTTGATTCACAATATACCAGAACAGAAGAATTATTTCTAAAAAATTAGGACTGTATTAAACAACAGCACAACTAAATAAACAATCAAGTGTGTTTACCTGTAAAAGAATGTTTATCAGTGATCATACTGCAAGGGACATCTTCACTGGTAGGCTGAACATTAATGTTTGGAATTGCCTGTAATTCTTCATTCTCTATTTCACACAATACCTAATAAATCCAAAATAGTCATAGTAAAAAAAAGTGAAGCTATTAAAATGTGTAAGCAGAACACTTAAAATTGTAACTTTGAGGTAGAGGCTATCTTTTTGTGCAGCAGCTAACACTCCTACACTTACAGAATACCACCAGTCTTATTGTTGGTCAATTCTGGCAACATTAGCACAAGCTCCATACTCCACTCTGAGCAATCACGGTTTGGAAAATGCAGGCTACAGTGGAATCCCGTTTATTTCTTCAAAACATGCAAACAGAAAATCCAACCAAAATCCCATCTGTCCTCGTGTTTAATGCTCCCTCTCACTTTCTGCTGACAGAGGCAAGTGCACCTGTTCAAGCTAGTGGCAAACAGAGAAAGAGGGAGAGGATTCTTACCTACTAGGGCTCTTTGCTCTCTTCCCTTGAATGACAGTGTCAGCATCATCTGCTGCTGCTATAACAACATAAGCTTGTGCTGCTGCTGAGGCAGAGAGTGTCACAGGCTCCCCATAGGTAGCTCCTGGTACCCCATTCACCCTCAACCCCTGGGAGCAGGGCTGTGCCGCCCATGACAAAGCCTCCAGGGGAGCACATCATTCCATTCCCCCATGCCCACCAACTCCCCAGATATACTACAGGTCATAAGATTGCATAGGACTTCTAGGGCCAAGTAGGGGCTTCAGAGGGCTGCCCTTGCCATGACAGACTCCTGTAGAGATGGGGTCCCCTCACAGTAGGCACCTGGGGCTGGTGTCCCGCTTGCCCCCTCTGGTTATGCTACTGGTGGCAATCCATAGGTTAAAAATGAGACGTCCTGAACAGAAGACACACATTGTAGCAGCAGATAAAGAAAAACAATAGGGAAAAAAATAGTATCTTTCTGTTTCAGGAGTGTCCTCAGCAGAAAGAAGGAAGGAAGAAAGTTGCATCCTTATATTCAATAGAATGTATGTACTTTAATTAATTTGTGCCACACAAACTGCCCCCTCCCCCCATTTTTCCAGTCAAATGTCAGCATCTCAGAAAGCACAAAAACATTACGACTTTTGGAACTGCTCCACATAAAGAAAATAACATTCTTATTTCATACATATAAGGGGGATAGGCAGTGACTGCAACTGTGGCTCTGATCCAGGGATGGGGCCACAGCTGCAGCTGCACTGTAGTCACAGTCGTAGTTGCAGCAGCTGCTTGCTACCCTGATCTTGGAATCACTTTGTACTTGATTCCAAGACAAGTGGCTTTTTTCCCCCATGTTAAATGAGTAAACTTCATCTTCAAATCAAGTAAATATGGTTAAGTGTTCTGT